GATTTCATACCAAGATAGCCGGAGAGGTTAAATGGAAAACAAATCAAAAGGCAGTCTTGCAGAACAGAGACTACATTCAAACATTTCTTGGCTGCCTAAGATTTAAAAAAAATAAAAAAAAAAAAGTCTTGAGATAACTGGGATAGCAAAAAGCAGGGAGGAAAAAAAACAGAAGAGAAACGTAGGAGGCATAGAGGATAGAATTTCTGATGACTCTGGCAACAACAATGCCTTGGACAGCAAAACCCAATTTGCTTATGGAGGACTCTGGTATGAGGACATGGGGCTCCCACTCCTCCCATCAGACTTGCAGGGAACTTGTGACTTGTGTACGCTTTAAACAGGCCAGACTGCGCATGCAGATGTCGCTGCACCACCCAACCATGGACGCAGATGTTTTAGTATAAAAACACTTTTAGCTACATGACTGTCCCGCTCTAAGAGATGGGAAAAGCAATATTGGAAGAGAGATAACGCAACCAGCAGCTGTTTCAGTAAGTGACCCCAAGTCAGAGTTAACCAGCGCAGTGACACTAGGAAGAGAGCTGTGCAAGGCAGACCACAGGCAGAGACACAGAAGGTATCCGAAAAGGGCAGTGGTGGTACGAAAGCGCTGGCTGTCGGCTGTGCTTCGATCTAAGAGCCAAACCTGTCAGGGTTAGTTCACTTCCACTTCTCTGAGCAGAGCCCAGAAAACTGCAAGCTCATCTCGCCCAGGCTCACTCCACACACAGCACGAGGAGCGCAGACTGAAAAGGAGGAGGGATTCCTGGCCAGCTTTTTTTTTTTTTTTTTTTTTAAAACCATAAAAGACTTGCATTGATTTGGGAGTACATCTCTGCAGGTGGGAAAGAACCTAGCCCAAACCCACAGTTATCAGAGGCCCCTGGACACTTCCTCTTAGACGACAAGATGGAGATAGAGAACATTACTGCAAAAAGTCTGGCCACTGGGTTTATCATAGCTTCAGCGTGACATACCTCATCTCCTGTAGCAATGAAGATGATCAGGTCCTGAACTCCATCACTGTCCACATCTGGAATCACTGACACGGGCGTCAGCACAGTATAATTAGCTCCAAAGTCACTGGACTGTCTCCACTGAACCTCCCCTGGAAGACAGAGTTATTAGGAAACATTCACTAAAAGGCACTTCAGGCTGACAGGCTTTTAACACCCCTGATCCTGGAAGTGCTCTGCAGCACCCAGCCATTTAGAGCCCATCAACACCAGAACCAGTCACATCTATGCTCATGATGGGGTACTTTGTTGCATTTCAAAGGAGTCCCAGTACCCACCATTTCAACTTGTATTGCAAAGTAATGCCAGCTGCCCGCACATCCTGGGCACAAACCAGTGCACAGGGCACAAACCAGTGCACAGGGCACAAAGGCAGCTGGCTCCTCTCGTGCCGCAGGTTAACAACCTTCCCAGACCGTTCACGCCACAGAGAATCCCTGTTCCCTGATCTAAAACGTTGCTGCTGTGTACGTATATCTGCAGAGACATTTTAAAAGCAGAAAGCAGCTCAATTCTGATCGCAGCGTTGCAGTGATCACAAAACCTTTTTTGCTGCAACATGCCTCCTGCAGATGTTCCTGCAGATGTTCCCCGCTGACCGACCAGCCACAACTCAGCTCGCATCCCACCTCTCCTGCGTTCAAAGAACACACACAGCACATCCAAGCTTGTTTGTAAATACAGGTAGCAGAGCTTTGGTTTTTAAAAAGTGGTGGTTGCGGGGGCGAGTTTCTCTCCGAGAGCTCCAGGCCACTTGGGTGACTTTACTCCAGCGCTCTGCCCAGGGCTGCTGGCCACCTTCCAGCTGCTGCCCAGGGGAATCTGCAGCGGAATTCGGGGAGGGGGGGGACCAATGGGGGGTTTGCTTTTTAAGGAAGACTTAAGTGACTAGGTGCTCAGAGGGGAAATGCTTGTCCTCCCCTTTAAACAGTGTCACAGACAGAAATTACCCTTTCAGGAATGCAGAGGAATCATCCGTTCTTTGTCAGGAAGGTGGTGGTACTGGAGGCCAAGGAATCACTACCTGACCCTGCCTGCAATAACTTTAAGCAAGGTGTATTTCCAGGAGGATTCCTCCTGAGCTTTTACTGACACACCGACAAAAATCCTTGGATCTGTTACTATGACAACAGGTGTGAAGTAGAAGAGTGTCCCTAGGAAATCATGGGAAGGTAAAGGATTTTACCCCTGAAGAAAAAAAGCAGGTAAAGGAAGGAGAGAACTTAAGTTTTAAATAACTGTATCCTGGCTCCAGCACAGCCCAAAGCGACAACAGCAGGACCAGGCTGATGAAATTTGCATTTCAATGCACCAGGCTCTATTCTTTGCTGGTTATTAGACAGTGGATATAGTTTTGGAGAAAGCATCTCACTCTCTAAAAAGAGCAGTCTGACTTCATGGAAATGGGTAACAGTGAGATGGATTCAACACAAAGGACCTGAGAAGCTTTCGTGCTCTAACACAAGCCCCAAAGAGCACAAACTGTGAATCCAATCCCATCCTGCTCCATCAAGGGGAGATGGGACTATCCTGTCCGACGTCTTGAGTGCTACAGTGCTTCCTCAGAGCCCGAGGTCATAGCAGAAGCACAGCAACAGAAACTGGGATGGAAATTAGACAAGGGCCAGGACAGCAAATCCAGCTTGGGTGAAAGGTTTTTTTCCTTTTGGTCCAGAAGGAATAATAAAGTGAGGACTTAGATGCCTGAGTTCAGCTCTCACTTCAAGCAGCTGCAGAGGACACAAAGCAGGACTGCTTGCTTGGGGCTGGATGAGGTCCAGACCCACATCCAAAGACTTCCCTCCCTGTCTGCACCCCACAAACGATCTGAGCTAAAGGCAGGTCTTCTCCACTGAGCAGTGTCAGACCCCTTCCCTTGCCCGTGGCCACTTGTGTACTGAACACTTGTAAACTCCTGGCATCCACCATACAGCGGATGTGAAGAATTCTTTGTTTTTCTGAACCTATCCACTTGATAAAAGAACTATGGAGCTAACAAAGAATTGCAACAGGAAATCATAATTCCCTGTTCTTACACTTCTCACTGATAATTTTCAGGACTCACTTCTCCCTGTCGCCCATTCTCCAGGCTGGAGTTTATTTAGTGATTTCTTGCACAGAAGCAATTTCACCCATCTGATCACTGTGGTCCCCTTTCTGCTGTATCCCGTAGGAGACCAGACCTGCTCACAACGCTGGCAGATGGAGGAGAAGGTGAAGAGAGAAGGTGTAACAAAAGGCTTGCTCCGGTCCTCTTCCTCAAGACTCTGCTTCTGGCCCTGGCAGAGAGGGAATCCGCAGCTACACAGACTGTTGCTTTGAGCTGGAACAGCTAATCTTAAACTCTTGTGTCCCAGTTTGCTCTAAGATAAACACGCAGGAATGTTCCCTGTCCCAGACAGAAGCGTGCAATCCTGCACTTTCCTTCTTGTTTGCTCAGGGCACTTATTCTGGCAATGAAGAAAGCAAGGCTTAACCCAACTCGAACTGATAGAAAAGCACTAACTTTATCAGCATTTAAAGATCAAAACCACATCAGAGATTTACAGATGATAATCTGCCTTCCTCTCCTTCAATCTTCCTACAAGCAGGGGCTGGGCAGCCTGAGCGCCCTGGACTCTCACCAGCCCCTCACAACGATGAATCATTAACAGCTGAGGATTGTTCTGACTACTGTTTTTAGCACAATGTGATGTAAGTCAGACTTTGACACTTTAAATACATTTAGCCTATTTAAATACATTTTATTCTATCTGCTCTCCTAACCCCCAGTAAAAGTCAACTACTCTACGAAACCCCTTTTAACCTATTTGATCACAAAAAGGTAGAAAATACATCAACTTCTGAGTTATTCCCTTTTCTGTCTGAAGCAATTTTTCATCTCCTGCTTTTAATTTATCCACAGAATGTTTTCTTACCGGACTGTTGCTGTGACCTGTGGCTTAGCCTGATTCCTTCTCTCCATGCTATTTCTTTACGGCTGTCTTTGGTTACACGCCTTTGGCTCAGCAGCCACCTTTCTACACTTTGACCTAAAAGCAACTACCTCATCAATAGTCTATAAATAACCCGTGCTAAAGCTTGTTGGTGAGGGAAATGCTGCTAAGATCTCTCAGCTGGTACTGAAGCTTTCCAGCTCTGCGTGTGCCTACACTTCCATCTACACTGGAAATTAAAGTTACACTGGATTTTCCTCAGATTCCCTAGGGCTATACAGCAATTTTTGCAAAACAGGGCGTGAGGGGTTCAATACCACATAGAGAGGATGGGATCCTAGCCATGTTTCCAAGGCAGAACTTGCATTGTTTAAAACCTTTGCAACAGTGACCCCCAAAATGGAAACGTATTTCACGGAAGAAAGGTTCGAGGTGTAAGAGATGGTCGCTGCCCTGTTCCTAGAGCAGGACAGGCACTCCTTACCCTCACCCTGCGTTAGGCAAAATGATGATGAATTTCTCCATCAGAAATGAAGGCGGCCTTCCAGAGGAAACAGGAAAAATCCTGGACTACTGAAACTGGTGAGTACTCATCCTAAGGGCTCTCCTTGATGACTTTAAAATCATAAATCCCTCAAACTCCCACTCCTCTTGCCACTGCAGGCACTCCCAGCACTCACACAAATGACTGAGAAACACTGCGGGCTGTGTCCAGCCCCCAAGAGTACAAAGTTTGCAGCCAGGGCCTGCTTCTCCTGCTTCAAAAGCTGCTGAAAAGTTGGTCTTAGACTACAGTGGGGTGTGCACAAACCACCACAACAGAGTCCAGCCTTCGGAACAGACAGGCTGAGAGAACAGGAGCTTCTCAACAGCCCAGCAAAGGCTCTGGCAAAGTTTTCAAGATAATAAATACTCTGTGCCCATTGCTCACGCACCAGCAACTGACATCACGCCGACGTCCCCAGCCTCCCAGGTCTGGGGTCCCCGGGTGAGGCCAGCGAGCGGCACCGTCCCCTGCCCAGCAGCAGCACTCCCACTCACCCGTCCGCAGGTCCACTGCTGTCAGAGCCACCGGCTTCCCCACGACCAGGCAGCCCGGGGCCTCCGCCGCGCCGAGCTGCGCGATGCCACACTCCATCCACTCCACCTCCTCAGCGGTGGGCCTCTCCCAGAGCGCTCGGCCGTTCGTGCCCGACACAGCAGCGAGGAAGGCGCAAGGAGAGGGCAGCCCTGCGGAGAGGAGACGTCAGAGGGAGCGCTGCCCACACCAACATGTGCTGCTTCACGCCACCAACAGCTGGGGCTCACCCTGTCCCTGTCCCCACCCAGCTAACCTGGTTTTCTCTCCCAGTCCCACAGCAACCTCATGAATTAGAACTAGAAGAGAAATAACAGCCCTTTGACTACAAGGTTTTCTGGTTTTGAATCAACTACCTTCATCCAAACAGGATCTGTTGAAGCTGCTGCTGCCGTTGCCGGCTCTGAGAGCAAAGATGACATCTTGCACCTTGTCGTCGTTCACATCTTCTATAGCGAGAAACTGGTAGGCCACTGTAAAAGAGAGCACAAGCCAGGCACTGGTGAGGATTGCCTCAGCCAACAGCAGAGCTGGCTGGAGAAAAACTCAAATTCCTAGAGACCTACTCACTGCCTCCATCTCTGACAGGGTAACATGGGGACAAATCGGCTTTTGTATCAAAAAAAGCTGTCTACATGAGTACCAAGGACTTGAAGTTAGTGCCAAAGGATTTTTTAAATTTGCTATCCCCCAGAGGATTTGTCTTTTTTTAAAGCCAAGCAGCCTGAATTTGAACTATGTTGAACAAAGAACAACTCTGGTCTTAGTTTGGAGTTGCTGTTCCCAAAATATAAAAAAAAAAACAAGCAAAACCCACTACATCCAGCCCCAGATATTCCATCTTTCTCACTCTCAGCTAAACGCAGCCTTCTTCAGCCCAGGGTAGCAGAACTTGGCATTTCTGCATTGCCACAGAAAGCTCAGTCCCTGTTGGGAGCACTATCTCTGCATCTACAGCACAACCAGCACACACCCACTGCACGTAAGAATGAAGAAAAGCTTTCACAGAAGCAAATGCTGACCCACCAGGGAGCAATACCCAGGCGAAAGAGCCGACTAAAGCAACTATAAATCTGTGCAATTTATAAAAAAAAAAAAAACAAGATGCAATTCCTCTTCTCCCTTTCCTATTAGTCATGGAGAAAAGTCAGAAAGTCATACTGACAGAGGAAAAAAGCTTAATTGTCCCCAAACCTCAGCTCAAGCTTCAAGTGAGCACTTTACAAACCAAACTTCAACAAAGATTTATTCCCAGATAACCCTTCCCCATTTCTTTTTTTCCAAATGAGGCCAGCCTGCTACCCTGTTAGCACTTCAGAGCAGCCTCTGATTTCTCCATCAGACCCTGTAAACACCTCCTGGAAGGCCACTCCAATTATGACGGGCCACTGCCTATCCAGGTCAGGCATTCACAGCCCTGGCCCCAGGGGCAGCATCCCTGCAGGTGGGGCTCCAGAGCGGGCCCAGGTAGAGCCCCACAACCCAAATGCATGGCACAAAAAGGAAAAGGACTGTTGGTAAGTATTTATGCTGCCACAGCAAGCTCACCTGCATCTTCATAGTTTCGGAACCATGTTCTTTCCGAAACTGGCCTCTCTGGGCAAGGAATGATAAAGGAGAAAGCAAACACAATGATCAGACACAGAAATAACGAGATGAAGAAGGCGGCAGTGCGCCAGCGGGACAGCCGAGACAGTCGCGATGACTGCTTGCTGATAATTCTTCTCTCCACAGAGTTTTCATGGTTCTCTTGAACTTTTACATCCTCAGTCTTCAGAGGGTGGATCTCAGCTTCTGAGTCTTTGTTATCCATCGCAGCTCACTCATCGGTGTCCAGACACCCTGCTTCCCCTTCACCTGCAATGGTGGAAAGAGCAGTTAAAATACTTCTTGGAATATATTAAAACAACAACAAAAATATTCTGTTACTACTTGATATTCATGCTGGAAACAGTTAACGGGAGGTGAGCAAGTCAGCGTATCGTCACCAAGCCGGACACAAAGCGCCGCTGGTACCAGAGCTCTCCCACACCGAGCGATGGGGAGAGACCGTGGGACGCAGGAACAGCACTGCTGCTGCTGCAGAGGAGGAAACGGGCTCTGCTAGACCCAGACGAAGGAGGCTACAGCCTCTACGTGGAAAGGACTGACTGGTCTGCAGGTCTGCCTCAAGAAAACCACACCAAAAGCTCCTTCAGCTGCAAAAACTTCTTGCCACCTCCCGTGTATGCCAGTCTGCCTCCCAGCTGGAGAGGTGAAAGGAAACACTTGTGACCTTTATATCCCAACGTAAGGCTGCTCCCTGCTGTAATGAGCACACGCGCTTCCCCCGCAGAGAGAGAAACAAACACCAGCGTGTTCTGCATGGGAACAAACCAAAGCCAGTCAACACCTTCTCAGATGAGAAACCCTTGATAAGTTTAGCAACCCAGACCTGCAGAAAGCAAGAGAATTATTATCTCCCTCCCCAGAGGAAAAAAAAGGCAGCAGTTGAGATGAAAATCAGGCAAATTCGATTTCATCAAAACGGAAGAGCTAACAACTGATCTTTTAGTTCCTCCTGCTATAAATCATCATCTTGAGCTACAGCCACATTAACTGAGGGGTTCTGTGCTAATCTGTTATAAAAAGAGAAAAAAAAGAAAAAGCTCCAGTCGGTTACCGAAGTCTGTAACTCATTACCCCCAACAATAAAATGTAAGGTTATATACAGCTTCTCTGATAGTGCTGCTTTGAAAAAATAGCAGAAGGGAAGAACTAAAGACTAACACATTCCAGCAGCCATGGAAAAACCTGCATGGCAGTGTCATAAAGAGTTATATCAGAGCAAACAAACATGACAACCGAGCCAATTTTCCATGACCATGCCTCAGCAGTCACGTGCCTGGATTGTCCGCTGGAGCGATTTACTTCTCCAGCAGAAAATAGCTGAAACTCAGCACCGACGCACAACGCAGAGAGCTGGGGCTTTCAGCTCCGGCCACACCAGGGCTCGTTACGCCTCATGTTTCATGCTCGGGTTCATTTACAGGTTCAAAGAAACACAAAGAGGACAGTCACCCTGGGGAGACCAGGCTCCTCAGGCCGCTGTGGCACGACTGGGGGTCTCACCTCCTCGGGGCTGTCCCTGTCCCACTGCAGGGAAGCGCTGCAGAGGTACAGGTCCCAGGGGGAAGGGAACTACAGCCTGGCCGGGCTGAGCGGGACAGCCCAGCACGCTGCTGCCTGGCCCCCAGCCCCGCTCAGCGCTGGCGAGCCTGGGGTTACGAAACTCTTGTTCCAATCCCAGCGCTCTGGCGTTTATTCTGCAACAGCACATCGAGTACAAGATCTTGCTCCAGCCAATTTCAAGCTGCACAATACCACGCAAATGCAATTAAATCATTAGGGCAGAAGCTGTACTATACTCCTAAGGCCTCATCGGCCCTTCGCATCAGCCCACCAGCAACACCAGAGACCCCTCCACAGGGCCGGCTGGTCCAGACCGACCGCAGGCACCTGGCAAGGGCACAAAAGCTCCAGAGGGGATGGGGAAGAAAAGGGAGAGTCGCGCATTCAGCCCTTCCCCAACCTGGGCACTGTGCCGGCGAGCCGAGCACCGCTCCATCACCAGAGCCAGCCCTGTGCCCGACCTCCAGCGGGTCCAAGGTACAAGGCTCCCGGCACAGCCCACGCAAACAATTCACCGGAGTGGAGCAACCGCCGCCGCAGCCATGGGGGACGGTGGCAGGAGCGGGTTACGTGGCCACTCTTGCGACGAGGCCGATGGCCCGTGTATCGTGCTGGTCTCCAGCAGCAGGGAGAGGTGGGTCTCCTTGAATGCTGTGGTACCAGCATCCACGGCACGGTCTGCGACAGGGCTCCAGCCCCATCGAGCTCTCCAGCAGAGCCCTCCGCAGCCCCCAGGACACAGCCAGTGCTTCCAACAGCTACCAGACTTCCCGCGAAGCACCAAAACCAGGATTTTCCCTGCTTAGTCCTAAAGGGACTCCATCTAAACTCTGTATGGAAGGCATATTTTTATGACTCACTATAAATGACACCACTGTCATCTAGACTGGGGATGAGAACAATAAAAAAAGGTTATAATTACCCTGACAGCCCCAGCACTTCCCCTTCTTTTGCAGCAATGACCCTAGGAGCCACCAATTACAAAGAGCCCTCAATGCCTTTAAAGCAATTCTTTCTCTTTTCTTTCAGGGTTTGAATAATGCCCTTTGCACCCCTGCCAGAGCAGAGGCAGTGCCAGAACAACGACCACAAAGGTCAATGGCAGAGACTCAAACAATGCAAGAAATCCCAGCGCCCGCAGTTGCCAAAGTACGTGCTGGCAGCGTGCGAAACGGCCCGAGCTCTGAACAACAAAGAGGTCCGGTAATCAGCTTAATTGAAGACAAGCAGAAAATGATAGTGTGCGTTTCAGACGATTTTACTGTCCTCTAGCAGCCGGCATTTTGTCTCCTGCTGCTGGTAGAGGACACAAAATAATTCACTGGAAAGTTTAACGCATCCAGGCAGCTCGCAAGGAAATATGCTGCGGCAGGATCGCGTGCTGCTGCGTTATTAACACACCCTGCGTGAACCACATCCCGTAGCTAGCACCAGCTCCCTGCTTGGGGATGGGAGGCCTCACCATGAGAAAACATGGGAAAAAGACTTGATAACACGCGCGAGAGACCCAAACTGAACGCACACAGCCCCAGGAGCGCTGCAGTACAGCCAGGATCTGCATCTCGTATGACTTCGTTCGCTGGTGTGTGCACTTCCATCGCTCCCCAAGCTTTACGGGTGACTTACCCCCAGTCCCCCTGCTCAGAGCTAAGGAGGAACAAATCCCCTTCCCCGTCCCACAGCCACAATGCTGCGCTCAGGACAAACACGGCTTTACTCACCTTTGCAGGCCACGGACTCTCCTCCCGAAGCTCCGGCACAGATTTACAGATCTGATCCAAACCAAACCAGTGAAACTTGTGCAGCAAGCGGTTAGTGCCAAGCCACGGTCAAATGCAAAAGGCAAACTGTCATCACCAGTCAGCTAGAACTGCCCGGCAAGCACAGAGAACCACACGCAGTCAGCTGTATTTTCATACTAGCGACAGAAACCATTTCAGTATCAGTGTGAGGGAAGGTTTAACTTATTTTCCACCCATAAAATCCCAAACCACAGCATTTGTCATCTCACCAGGCACCAGTTCTTCCTGGAAAACTTCCAGCAATACATCCTAACAGAGATTTGATGTTTAACATGGTTCTATCTTTCACAGAACGATGAAATCAGATTCTGACTGGCCATTTCAGGAACCCAAACACAGCACCTGGGTCTTTCAGTTCTGTCATTTTTGTTTTAAGCACCTTACAGCTTTCCTTTCTGTCGGCCAGAAACTGTTGAAGCCCCAAGCTGCAAAACAGCTTCCAAATTTTGCACTGAACAAGATGCCATGTTCCCTTCACAGCTGTCTTCCACGAGCAGACTGTTCAGTTTTGATCCGACGTACAGTGCGGCACCCACCTGCTGCCACACCAAGACATTCTTGGGCCGTTTTTCCCCTTTTCTGCAGCGCCACTGACATCAGGGTCCAGTCACGAGGAAACGAGACGTGAGACTTTCCCCAAATGAGGAGATTTTCCTTTCCAAATACACTCAGACTGCACTGCATACACAAGCTTACAGTTTTGCTGGATCATCTGCAGCTCGTTAACTCCTTCTTGATATAAAGTCACAGCCAGGGGCTGGCGGGGGGAACCGCCCGGAGACCGTCCCCCCTGACACAGGGTACCTCTGCTCCTGCTCACATCCTTCAGCCTTTGTAAGGACACAGTGTGTAACCCAGGCTGCACTGACGACAGCGCAGGCAACCGGCTCAGAGAAACACGGGGTTCTGCTGCTACAGCTGTCCTTCCCCTCCCCGCACTCCTGCCACTCTGCCTCTGCTAACACAGGTCTCTACTTCTCAAACGACACTTAACCCTCCAGTGCAGGCACAGCACGTGCCACAGAGCATTCACAGCAGGTGAATTACAAACCCCTAATGTCACCTTAGAATGTCATACATCTGTCACTTGCAGGAGAAAAGTCCTCTCTTCCAGGGAAGATTTCACTGCAGTCAGGGTTCAAGCAGAGAAACTCCATCTGTTTAGTGAAGAGCAAAGCATGACCCAGTACTTCTTCCAAGATGGGAAGAACTAAACCCTCCAAGATGAGGAACAGCGCTAAAGCTGCGTGGAACTGCTGACAGGTTCGGCCACTAGCAAGAACCGAGCAGCAGAAACACGTGCTGTTGCCCAGTCCTTACAGTTTGGCTGGATCACTCGCCCTCACTGACTGCTGCAGACCCCCCGTGAGAAGGAATTAGCGAGTTGTTCGAATCCCTCATGTCAGAGACACCCCCACCTCATCCACGGGATCCCCTGCAGCACAGCAGCTTCCCCGCAACACCAGCCATTTAACACAAGAGGGACTTTGGGGAGGTTTCAGTGCATGAAAACCCTTTAGAAGAGGCTGTGGTCGTTTCACAGAGCTTTATTAAAATTACAACAAAGTACACTCTTTAAGCTAAGCACTCGTTCCACAGACCCCATGCTGCCCGCTGGGTCCCTCCTGCACAGCCCAGTGACGCTTACGGCAGCATGAAACAAGGGCCTTCCTCCAGCCGCCGCTGTCCTTGTCAGCTGTCTCCAAACCTCTTTTCTGCTCCCAGAACTGAATTTTTTTCTTCCTCTCTTACACACACAGGCTGAGGCAAGCTCATTCACAGGCCACTCCACCCACACACCCAACACGCAGCCTTGCAGAGCCT